AACTGACAACAGGCTCAGCTCCAGAGACGTCGGCAACAGGTACGACTGCGGGATCCAGCATTGCGAGCACCATCGTCGTGAGTTCGGACTCGTCTAGCAAGGCCGAGGTTGAAGCCGAGGCTGGGCCCCTTGAAACTGTTCCACTGTGGGGCATGCGAAAGGTGTTATGACGCCTGAAGACAGTTGAGGGGACGTACCTGTACCTCGTCGACTGGGAACCGACTTGGGAGCCACCGTCTAATATCCCTCAGATGCAGATCGTGCGCTACAACAAAGCAAGAGGTAAGATAGTCCAGAAGGTCTCCTTTGAAGTCGATGCCGTTTGTGTAAACTAGGTTTATTAATATGCAAACACGAACAGAGTTAAAACAAATTCAAATACATTCCCTTACTTCATCGAACGTACCGTATTGTGTTTTGTCAGTCCCTGCGCATCTGCGGTAGTGCGTTGTTCAGCTTGATCTGGCATGGTACCCACCACACGTACACAATGTTACTAATAGCTTCGCGATACTGAAAAACTTTCATCGCATCTTTCTCTGCTTCAGTAACAGGTTGACCGCTTTCCGGCATGCTGGAGTTGAAGGCGCTGAAACGATCAATAGCCTTCGTAAGTCATCGACGTACCCCGCGCTATAGAAGTAGACCCCGTTCACGATTAATAGGAACACACAACAGTCCTTGATGAGCTTGTGAAATCCAACACTTACTAGAATAACAGACAACGTTTGGTACCAGACACGGAAGCTTGCTTTAACCCGTAAATGCTCTTTAGGAATTTGTACACTAGATCGTCCTTGCCCAGAACTGTATACCATCCGGTTGAGCCTTGTAGATCTCCTGTTTAAGAAAACCGCTAAGGAAAGAGGTGCGGACATCCATGTGATAAATGCCAATCTCTAGCACGGTTGCAATAATTGTTGGATGATAGGCGCCCCGGAGCGCTTGCGAAATAGGCAGTTTGGATTGCCAGTGAAATACACGTAAAACCTCTCTATACAATTTATTATTGTGTTACTTCTACCATTAAGCAAGTACGAGAGGGCGTTCAGTTCCAATCTATACTGGATAGTGCAGACAACTGTTGCCTGACATTCATATGTGCGATGATGACAAAAGGTGAGGAGTGATGCCGTCGAGGACACAGCCCGAAGACGAGCTCACTTCCTCTTTTACCTCCAGGTATCGATCACGGATCTAAAGAGGAGGCTTAGAGATTAAGAGTTTAGTACACTACGAGTTGATTTTACTTAGTGTTTTGTGATCATTTAACATTTCAAGTAAGATGAGCAAACCAAGCCACAGCGGTTTGACTGCCATGCTGATGTTCAGCGGTGAGTAAGGTCGCTTTGCAACGTAGAAGGTCCAAATACTGGTTCACCTCACCTCAACAAGCAGCGAGCGCGCTGTCGACGAGTTCAAAGCTGGTAGGACGAGGCCCACTATTCGCTATCAGGACTCGTTGACTGGTATGCCGACGATGACTCCACCAAAAGATGACGCGACTTATAAAGTAAAGGACGACTACGATTTGTAGCTCGCCATTCCAGGCCAACAAGAATCGTACATCAAGGACCTGCTCATCCAGACACTGCCAACCCCATACAAGCTGAACGAGGAGGTGCAAGAGCCCGTGCACCTAATATGGCGTGATGTGGAGAAGGGCCATGGCCTGAACACTATTTCTGGTTTTGTGGACCTGGTCCAACAGTTCGAAGATGAAGTGAATGCTGCATTTAGGAGCGTAAGTCACCTCTTTACACGGCTGAAGACTCTGAAGGGTCGGGTGAACTGCAACAGCTATAAAAGCTGGCGTCATATCGTCCAACCTGTTGATAAACAAGTACTGCCTAACCATCTGTGGAGGCAAGTCATCAGCTTTTCGACTGATGAATTCACGCTGAATCGCGTTGAGCCCAAACTATGCTCCATCATTGCAGCAAGAGCATCATGGCTCTACACAGCTCACGGCGGGTGAATCACACTCACACCGGCAACAACTGAAGGAATCGGTGCTGGGAAAGTGCAAATCCCCCAGCAGACATTAACAAATGATGTGCACTACAGCTACCGCAGTATGAAGTGCCGTTATTGTTTTGGCATGCACAATGACATGGACAATACCGGACCACACAAGTTTGTGGACTTCCCTAAACGGGTTCGAGACTTGGTGGTCGGTATTAAGTGCCGGAACATCCATGCATACCCAAGAGGCAAGCAAGGGGTAAACGCTGTGAAGAAGGAGCTCCTGGGGCTCAACAAAAAGGTCAAGGCTCAGGCGAAGAAGCCTAATCGCGAGGGGACGCTCGAGTTGTGCAAGACCAAGATGGCTATCGATGCCTGCAGCGCAGCGCAGAAAGACGTGCCTCTTACTCTCGTGGATAAAGCAAGTCCTCCTCCAGGTCACACGGAGATACCACTGACACCTGGAAAGGACATGTCATCGTTTTTGCTACGATGACAACCGATGAATACGGTTGTAAACGCAGGTATCGTGGACTTCTCTGAGCACCAGAACGACTGCTGCTAAGCAATCCAGGGATTGCAGCGACGACGGAGCGTTTTGCCGGCATGATCAGTAACCTGGAGAACAAGGAACGAACATGTCGAGCCATCTTGACCAGGGCGCAGGTGGAAGTAGGAGAGACCGGAGTAGACTTAAGGAGTAAATGGCTAAAAGAAGAGTGAGATTGATTTAGTTAGAGAAGACAGAGATAGCGGAGCGGTGGAGCTGCTACGCGGTGGAACCTTCTAGAATCCTGTCAAATCTGGTAGTACAGACTTGTCTCAATCTGTAAATATTAAACTGGGCGTTCTTGTGTCAACAGGTGTACTGCTGTCACATTGACACTCCCATTGCAGCAGAAATATCTGTGTCTGTTCTTGAAGGTGGTCAACCAATATAGATAAAGCCAGTAATATTTCCAGAGTTTAGAATGGGAAACGGTTGCTGATCAATCCTTCGTACTTTATCTCGTTATACGGTAAAGGTTTGACGACGTTGTCTAATTTTCCCAGTTTTCAGAACCAGACCGGTTTAGAAAATGTAGATTTGCTTCTCGTTTAGAATTTTCCAAAAACAATTTTGTTTTCTTTTGTGGCTTGATCTCTCTATTTTCGAATTTGCGATGGAGAAGAACTCGTGTGCGCCACCAGCCCCCAAGCGTCAGCGTACTGCGCCTCCGTCACCTCAAGAGGAGAAGCGTGAGGACAATGAAGCGCTACAGAATGCTATCGCCTACAGCGATATGCTGTCTTCTGGTGAGGATGAGAGCACTGACACCTCCAGAGGAGAAGCGTGAGGACAATGAAGCGCTAAGGAATACTATCGCCTACAGTGATATGCTGTCTTCTGGTGAGGATGAGAGCACTGACGAGCGCTGCAGCGACGACGACGTCTCGGACGGCTTTGCAGCGATGATCTCAAAAGCGACGGCTCAGCAGCTGAAGACCCGGATCCGCCTTCGAGTGACGAGGAAGAGGGCTCTGCCTGGGACACTGATCTTGAACGCCTGTGGGAAGTTTGGCAGATCGACGGAGTCGAACGCGACGCAGATGGCAAGACTCTGTGCGTTAGCGTCCTTTGGGATTGGCGTCCTACATCCAAGAGCAATCGATATCGGACATGGGATCCTGTTGAAGATATGTCCAAGATTCATTCTGAAGAAGTCAAACTCGCCGAGCGTTTCCCTGCCAGCGGTATGCAGCATTTTCGTCAGTTCTGCAAGACGGATACTTTTGGGAAGGCTATCATCGACGCAAGCGATAACTACAACTGCGTGTTTAACGCGCTAGACCTTGCAACTGGTGCTTTTGACCGCCCAGGGTTAATACCACAGGACGTCGTCGCCAAGTTCATCGCTGACGAGTTAGCCGAAGGTCGCGATCTGCTCAAGGCCTGCACATGGAACCTTTTTTTTCAAGTTACTTCGCAAGTTACGAGCGTCCAAGTGCGACTTGGGCATCAACGCTCTAAAGCGAAACCTCATCACAGGTGGGCATCGAGGAAGTCGTGTCCTGTTAGAGTTGGAGGAGAAGGGCGGTCTAACTGATGGGCTATTTCTGGTGGGAGCTTACATCCGGAAATTTTCGGTCATTGTGTTGTCCTTCGAGTGGATGCCAAAGGAAAGAAGCGTACCGTCATCGACGAGGACAAGAATGGGGTGGTTAGTGAGTGTTTAGTTCAAGAGTGCACATGAATGAACTTCTTCTCGTTCGTACGCCCATTCCGTGTTTTTTTTGCCGCGCACGTAAGTGCTCAGGGCGGACGGTCTTAAGGGGATTTCAAGGTGGGTTTCAAACCTTTGGACAATAAATAATATGCTCTCACCTTTTCATGTCTTACAAGAAATTCATTGCTTATTTGGGTGGAGCAACTCGTATTAGCTCTCTCATTTTCTCAAATATTGGTTTGCTAAGTGGCTTAGTAGAAATGTCAGCGCACATTCCACTGGTGTTAAAGTAGCTAACAGTGAACTTCTGACGGGACAGCTTCTCTTGAACGAAGAAGTATTTGATGTCAATGTGTTTGCTCCTGCCATGAAGCTCTGGATTGTTGCATATCTTAATGCAACTTTGGTTGTTTTCCATGATCAAGATTGGCTTTGAGCTGTTGTAGCCCATTCTCTTAGCAGTAACTTTATATATATAAGCTCTTGCATACACTAACAGAGATCAATGTACTCCGCTTCTGTTGTCGAAAGCACCACGGTGTGGCGTCTCTGGGAGACCCAACTGATTGGACTATTGCAGAACATTGTGATGTATCCGCCAATGCAGCGCCGAGTATCTTGGCACGCCGCATAGTCTGAGTCCGTGTACGCCATAAGATATTCATCTGACTGTACTGTAGAAGTTCTAGATGCTCTACTCCACTGAAGGTTATGCCATAATCTAACGTTCCTTTCAGGTAGTGCAGACCATGCTTCACTGCCAGTGAAGAAGCTCAGGGTTATCCAGGTACTGACTGACTTCTCGAATGAAATATGCAAGATCAGGTCTAGTGCCTGTCATGAGATACATGAAGCTACCCACCGCTTCTTGATATGGCTTGTTGGACATGAATGCTTTTGCGTCTTCGTCGTTCGGACAGTCATTGGCAGTTAACTTCTGTGCGATAGGTGTGCTTGTGGTGTGACTATCTAACATCGAGAATCTGTCAAAAAACTTAGTGGCATAACTCTTTTGGTGAATAAAGATAGAGCGTTCGGCTCGGTTTCTTTCAATAATCCAGCCGAGAAGGTAGGATACTCCCCCTAAATCGGTCATGTGGAACTCGGAGCTCAGGGCCGATTTGACCCGAGCAACGACTTGTTTGAACGGTGCGATGATCAATTGGTCATCGACATAAACCGAGATGTAACACGGTGCATTAAATATAACCTTAAAGAACACGCAACGATCCTTAACACGCAACGATCCTTAACTAGGCGAGTGAAACCAAGACGTTCGAGGTATTTTGCAAAGGTATGATACCAGACTCTAGGCGCTTGCTTGAGGCCATCGAGGCTCTTACCAAGACTACACACTAAGTCAGGTTTGTCCTTTGAGGAAAATCCCTCTGGCTGTTCCATAAAGATTTCGACGTCAAGTGAACCATTGAGGAATGCCGTTTTTACGTCCATTTGTTCAATCTCATAGTCAAGGATTGCTGCAAGCGTGAGCAGCAGTCGAAGTACTTCCATCCGCACGACAGGTGAGAAGATTTCTGTGTAATCTATGCCATACTTCTGCTGAAAGCCTTTGATAACCAGGCGTATTTTAAAGCGCACAATGCTACCGGTTCCATCGCGCTTACGCACGAAAACCCTTCGGTATTGCAGTACCTTTCTATTATGTGGGCGAGGTACAAATGTTCATTTCTTGTTCTCAATGAGCGAGTT